TGTTCACAGTGGTGTTGATAGGAACCAGACGTCTGCAGAGTTGAATGCCTCTGAAAGCTCCCTCACGCTTGAAATGGTGTTGAATACGCTGCCTGATGCCTTTACGATAGTTTCGAGAAGATTTTGGTCTAAAAGATACGTTTTTTAATATTTTTAATGCACGTATTTAAGGCAAAACAGTCCCCAAAGAAAACTGAATTATGCAGAAGTTTAATTCAGGTGGAATTCCCCTTTAATCACTAAACTCTCATTCTTGTGTGCTTTCTGCTTAAATGAGGAAGGTTTTATGGCCTTTTTTATGGCCTCTTTTATTGCTTCAACATCACATGCTCATCAAAATCATATTTAAAGACTGCAGTATATTACACACCATCAATAAATAGGAAAAATTAATTAAGTAGAAATTTTGAAAAAGCGGTGGAATTCCCCTTTATGGTCTAAAATCTTAGGCTAGGACTATTTGATTCGTCCAACTGCTTTTTACTAAAACTCTCTATCTACAGGAAACTATATATGATGCTAATAATAATAGTAATAATAATAATATTAATAATAATAATAATAATGATAATAAGATGAGTGAGGCCTGTTGGTTTTACAGGCCGTTTCTATGTCACAGTTCTTCGAAAAGGAAAAGTACAGGCTGTACTGTACAGCGTGTTCCTGTGCTGGTGAGCTGTGCTGATGGCTCTCAGTGGGTCGCTCTGGACCCTGTTTGCGTAGATGTGAAATTTCAGAGATCAAAAGAAAGTTGTTTTGTCCACCACGAGCACCACAAAAAGCCCTCGGCATTGTTTATGTTAGGCATTCGGCCATCTGGGGGAAAAATATGAAAATAGCCCGTTGGCAGGCTGTTTGCGCCGAAACGTGCTCCTCTGCACCGCCTTGTGGCGAAACGGAGAACTGCAGGGCTGTGTTTTCTGTCCAGTGTTCAGAAATTAAAGGGGAACTCCACCGATGTTTCAAAATTTGGGTATTATTAAATAGTTAACATGTCAACACAGCTATTCAGGTGGTTTGGGGTGAAATGCTCCGTTCTACACTCTTAAAAAAGATTAATCTTCAAGGGTTCTCTAGTTATGAAAATGTTTCTGTGTAGAACCATGAACACTCAAAGAACACGATTAAAGGGTTGTTCACGTAATGAACGGGTTCATAAGAATGTGCTGAGATGGTTCTACCTAGAACCTTTTTGAAAAGGGTTCTTCTATTGTTATGATGTCAAGCTTGTAACAACAGAAGAACCCTTCTGGGTGCTATGTAGAACCCTTTTCAAAAAGGTTCTATATAGAACCATCTACAGCACGTTCTAAATCAATCGGAAGAACCCTTTCATGATGCAAACAACCCTTTAATCATGCAAAGGGTTCTTTGAGTGTTCATGGATCTATACAGAACCATCATCTTTACTAAAGAACACTTGAAGAACCAAGAGTGTAGAGAAACTTATTCAGTCAGAACTGTTCAGTGGTGGTGATAGGAACGTCCACCTCTAAAAGCTCCCTCACAGAAAGTTGTCTGAGACACTGTTTTATGGTAGTTTTGTGATAAAGTTTTGGCCTAAAACGTAATTTAATCTATTTATTTTAATCTATTCATGGTGGAGGGATGCATGAAGGGTGTTGTGAGACAAAATAGCCCCCAGAAAAAAAATATATTTTTTTTTCAGAATTATCACTATTTTACAATCAACATTCACATAACTCAGAAGATATATATATATATATATATATATATATCCCCATGTTTTTTTTCCCTATACATATATAGATATAGATGTATATAGAGAAAAAATAGAATGGAAGTTAGACACAAGACGTTTTCCAAAGTAATTTTGGAGCATGAAATTTTATGCCAACACAGCTGGACTTTCTGAATTCTGTAATAAAAATGTATACAGTGACAAAAAAGGGTGATACACGGTTTTGTTCAGACAGCGACAATATACAGGGTGATTCCAAAAGATTCATCGATTTCAAAGCGCCATATTTTTGCAACCGTGCGGCACCCAGGAACCAATCACACACCAATTGAAAGAGGGGGTCATAGTGTTTTTGACTCTCAGTGGAAGACGGCTCCCTTTAGTCTGAGAGGAGATGAGACCCCTGAGCAGAAAGCGATCTACGTTCTCCACTTCAATAAGACTGAATCCGTCATAACTGTGCAGTGTTTTTTTCGTCAGCAGTGAAGCTCCAACAGCTCAGAGTGTTCGTCGTTGGTTCCACAACACTGGATGATCTCTGAAATCGCACTGAAAGAGCCGTGAGCGCAGCGACACCCGACACGCTCAATCCAGTATGGGATGAGTTTGACTATGGCGTTGATGTTGTCTGTACAACTGGAGGAGGTTCATATTGAGCACTTGTACAATTACATAATAAACTTTATGCTCATTTAAACCATTTACAGTTTACTGCATTGATCTGTAATGATTTACAAGGGAAATAAATCATTTTGAAATTGGATGAATCTTTTTGAATCACGCTGTATATACACACACACAATGAGGGGAAACAAATATTCAATCCTATTTGTTTTTGTTGTTTTGTGTTTCTTCCTGTGCACACATACACTTCAAATTCACTCAACACAAATGGAGTGGATATATGCAAATACAGGAAACAACAAAAACAACATTTATCTGGAAATGTATGTGGAAATGTCTTGTAATAAGTTAACAGTATCTATTAAATCACACTGAGTTGATTCGATCAGTTTATTTTGTGTAATGTTGCTGTTTTTCCCTCTTTAAAGGGTAAAAACAATCTGCATAAATTTGGAGGTAGAAACAGGCTTCGATTAGTGAAGATCTGACACGTAATTACACTCACAGCTCCAGCTCCAAAATACACTTGAACACAGCTCACACACACACACACACACACACACACACAGTTAAACAGTTCCATTCAGCGCTGTTAACCTGTAAGTGAAGATTATTGGTTTCTACAGTTCTAGTAATAAATAAACACATCTGTGTCTGTGCAAAGTGTCCAGGGGCCGTTATGGCTGTGAGTCTTCAGGTACACGTCCAGGAAGAAGCAGAGAAACGCTGTTGAAATGTGAACGAATACAAAGGACAAACATTAATAGGGTCGACCGTTCAGGGAAATGCTCTGAAATAATGCAGCTGGAACTACAGGAGTGAGCAGTGTGAAGGAGAGAGAGAGAGGAGAAAAGAAGGTGAGAGAGGTGGAGGGGAAAAAGAAAAAAAAAGGGAGAGAGCGAGCGAGAGAGAGAGAGGAGAAACGAAGAGAATGAAGGTGAAGAGCGAACAGAGAAACAGATGAGAGGTAGAGAGGGTGAGAGAAAAAAAGAATGGGAAAGAAAAGAGATGAGATGAAGAAAGAAATAGAAAGAGAGAGAGAGTGGAGAAAAGGAGAGAGAATAGGGAGAGAGAGAGCGCGAGTGAGTGAAAGCAGAAACAAAGAGAAACAGATGAGAGGTAAAGAGGGTGAGAGACAGAGAAAAAAGAGAATGGGGAGAGAGAGAAAGAGATCAGGAAGAGAGAAATGGAGAGAAGGAAAAGAGAAAAGATAAAAAGAGTTGGGGAGATGTAGAGTAAAAAAAGATGGACAAAGAAAAGAGATTCAGTGAAAGAAAAAGTGAAAGAACAGGATACATGCAAAAAAGAGTGAGATGAAAAAAAGGGAGAGAGAAGGAAGAGATCAAGAGAAAACAAGAGTGAGACAGATGGAAAGAAAAAAGGGAAAGAAACCAGAGAGAGAGAAATGAGAGGAAAAGAGGGTAAGAGATAGAGAGAAAAGAGGAAAAGGAAAAAGAAGAGAGCGAGACAGAAGGAGAGGTGATGGACAGAGTGGTAAAATAGAGGGGTCGAGAGTGTGGAGTGGAGGAAAGATGTCTGGACTGGGTGGAGAAAGAACAAGCCGGCTGAAGAGAAAAGGTTTAGAGTTGAAAGGAAAACTACAGTGTTTATAAACCTGATCTCCATCAGCTGCATCTGTATCTGACCATCGACATCACAGACAACTGTTCAAATATATCCGTCTGTACTTACAAACAAAAAGCAGCACATTTATAATAGAAGCCAGTGGGCAGCTGCTGATTTCCGTCGACAGACGTTTGTGGGAAATATGGACTTTCGCACAACAATTTCATGAATTCTTCAGTCTAAGATATTTTTAAAGATTTGTGAATTTGTGGTATTTGTGGATTTGTGATTTTGTGGTAATTCGCCAGTGCGGGTGGAGTTTCCTGCCTGGTCTCCATGGATACCAGAAAACTTTAGGAAAAGTTAAAATTTAGCTGAGATGAAAGTCATTTGGAGATGTCTGATGTGAAACATTCCACTATACAGATGCTTACAGAAGGGGACGTCTGGTTCCACTCACCACCACTGTAAAAAATTCTGACTCTAAGTCTCTTTAGAATGTAGCGTTTCCCATCAAACCACTCTGAATGACTTGCACATTTTCAAGATTGAATTATTCAGGAATTTTGAAAAACGGGTGGAATTCCCCTTTAAGACACTCTCTCAGCTCGTCTCATTTTAACATGAGTGTTTACATGTGTCATAATCGGATTTCTGCAGTTATGCGATTAGTGAAATGGTCGTGTAAACACCATACTCTAAGAAATCCAATAAAGAGGCTGGATTTTAGCTCAGTAATCAGATTTCTCAGTGCATGTAAACTCTTACTCTGATTTCTTTCGGATTTCTCAGTCTGTGCATGTGCAAAAACAGACGGCCGTACCGGAAATAAGCACGCAGTGTTGCCGCGAGATGCAGCAAAACACTTTTGGAGTGATGCTGAAACCAAACACGAAATGAACGATATACATTTTCTTCATCTTCTAGATGATGTATGTTCATAGTTTCTGGTAAAGTGGTAAAATGTTTTTAAAAAAAAGCTGCAGCATGAAGCTTTACATTATGTTTACATCACGTTTTCTTCTGTGAGTTTATTGGCTGGTTGTAAAGCAGTAAACTGATTACTGCCTGACTCATGTAGACCTGGAGTTTCCCCATTATCTGATTACTCAAGTGCATGTAAACATGTTGATCGAATTACTGACAAAATCTGATTTCTGCAGTTGTCGGATTATTAAGTGCATGTAAACACACTCAATGCTTTATAGTCACATACTTTAAAACGTTTATTGACAGAATTGCCACTGCCAATTGGCTCCTATTATGAGCATGTTGTGTTCTTTTCTTTTCCAAATACAGACGTATGTTGAAATTACCATCTGTGATAATCAAATGTATCATAAAGATGCAGTAAATGGAGGATAGGTTAAAACACGATGAAGCAATCCTTTAAAGAGAAAGTCAGAAGTGCAGAGACAAAGAGAAACGGGTATTAATACTTTCTTAAACCAGACATGGATTAACGGATTAAAACAGATCCAGAAAGATGCAGAGCTGTGTAGTTGTCCCTGGTTCTGTGCGCCCCCTTATGTACGTTTATTAGTTGATCCAGCTGAGGTCCAGGCAGCGGGCGATGAAGGCGTACGTGTCGGCCACCTCCTGGATGACCTTAGTGGTGGGCTTCCCGGCCCCGTGCCCTGACTTAGTGTCGACGTAAATGAACAGAGGGTTTGACTGGCCGGGCCAGCGACCAATCAAATGCTGCAGGGTGGCGATGTACTTCAGCGAGTGCAGAGGAACCACACGGTCGTCATGGTCGCCGGTCAACAACAGCACAGCCGGGTACTGCACACCCTCGCCCTCAGGGATGTGGATATTATGAAGGGGAGAGTACCTGAAACAGACAATGATGATGCAGCCTAAAGTATTTCTATTGCTCTGAAATAACAACCGCAGGAAAGTAGTAAAGACGCTGTTAAAACAAGAGACTGAAATAAAACCCAGAAAAGAATTAGCCACCAAAACGTTAATGTCTAAAAAGTAACAGGGTAAAAAGTACATGAACCTATACTATATAAGACTTGGGGATTTGGAGACCTCTATGGTGGAAAAGTGTAACTGCATGCAACATGCAGAAGAATATTTTGTAACATGGGTTGTGATTCAGACCCCTTCCCCGAGCGGATAAATCTGCTAATTTGTGTCCGAATTAAAAGGGAATTCAAAGAGAACTCGGTCAAATCTTAGTGAAGGACGTGTTGTCCAAGAATGATTCACTACTGTCATCATATCTTCATCAGTATAACACTGATTCTGCATTTATGACCTAAACACTGAGCCAGACCTTCATTTTTGAGCCTGCGTGTGACGTTAATAAGTGAAGACATACGATGTGGTGTGAAAAGCTCTCGACTCAACAGCTCTGACTGGTAAATAATGATTTCAGGCTTTACAGGGCGACTAGCAACAGTGTTTTTTTTTTATATTAATAAAAAATCTTACATAGTGCAGCTCTAAGTTAAAAAGAAGTTAAACTCTGGTTGAGAGTGTTGCTGAAACTTGTTTTCTATCGTCTTTATTTAATCATATGACCTTAAAAAAAACAAATAATCAAAAGTAATCAGATTACTTTAACATAGTAATCCATTTGATTACAGGTAATCTGTACCACAGTTGCATTTTTAAGTACCCCTTCAAATCCTGGCAACCAGGAGCAGGATTATGAAGCACATGACTCACTTGATAAGCCAATCGAACTGTTCTTTAATCTCCGAGCAGCCGAAGTCGGTGGTCCAGGCGTGGCCGATTGTGAACTTATGGAACTTCAGCATGTCCATCACTCCGACCTGAGCTACAGCACAGCCGAACAGATCAGGCCTCTGATTCACACACGCCGCTGCATGACAGAGAGAGAGAGGTTATTATGGGACATATTGCAAGGGATGCACGATGAAATATATGCATTTGATACATTTATTTTACTCTGGAGGAGCAGAATGTTTAGGTGACGATGGGATACAACGTTAAAAAGGTCTGCATTCTTATTAATGTTATTCATTTTACTACATTTATAACCCTACAGGAATGATCAAACTCATTTCACATTGAGCAATTATGCTAATCCAGGTAGACTCCGTCTCCACATCTTATAAACGTTAATGCACCAGCATGTATGTGCATGAAAAGCATCAGATATCAGATGCCGTACCCACGAGCAGCCCTCCGTTGGAGCCCCCATTGATGGTGAGTTTCTTTTGCGAGGTGTAGCCCTCCTTTATCAGATATTCCGCTGCACACTGGAAATCAGTGAAACAATTCTGCTTGCTCCCCAGCATACCACCTAAAGAGAGAGCGAGAGAGAGGAAGATAATGACAAAGAGAAAAAGAAAAGGCAGAGATGAAACAGCACACAAAACCAGAAGCAGAATGGCAGAAACACAACAATAAGAAAACTCAGTTATGAAGGCACTAATGATATTGTGATTTTGAGAGGACAGGGAACAAAAAAGCTTATATGATGAGCAAAACGCTAACTAGAAAATGTGCAAGTTAAAGAAAATGCATGGCAGATCAGAGGCAAATGAAATAAAAATGATATTAATTGTCGCTTCCACTCAAAAACCCGCTTCTTGTGACTCCTGAGATTTGCCCCCGCATTCGTAGAGTGTTTAAAATAACACATCAGACTTGGGTATATAGGAAGGTTATACTAGGAATTTTAAAAATTACATTTGTTTTTTCGTCCAAAAAATTGTACTTTGTGTTAACAGGCCAAGGGTCATCAACTGGCGGGCAGCAAAATATTTCAATGAATTGAACCAAGCACAGGAAAAAAAATCTACACACCAAGCATTTAAAGGTAACCAACCACTGCTGCCATTCACTTTTACTAGTTTGTTCATCTGGATCTAAGTAACCAAGACATCTAATGTAACTGGAGCAGTAAAATATATCCGGAGGCCACTGAAATCATACTCTTAACACTTTTTTTTAATGCAAGATTCAATCACTTGTCTCTTTTGTGTGCGTGCTACCTTTGTGCCATGTTTCTCCGTACTCTCCTCCCCCTCGGATGTTGGCCACAGCTAAAACTCCTCCCAGATGCCGTACAAAAATGAGCCTGGAAACACTGCAGCCAAAACAAATACAGCTGAAGTACCTCTCTCACATACATTCTCACACCACAATAGTCCACACTAACCACCATTTGCTCAATAGGGATGTGCATTCTGACTAATTTTGGCTAAAAATTATGTAGAACTGTTGGTTTCCTGTTAGGTGACCACACTGGTTTTGCAGTGGAACTCCAGTGGAACATATTTTATTATTCAAAAATAAGAGACATCCGTAGGTTTTCGTTTTGGATGAGTAACGAGTAAAACTCGTCTTTGAGCCCTTCCAGCTTCAAACACAGCTCAGCTTGACCCACCATCCTTCAAGAGGCGTGGAAGACAAGCATCAAGACTTTTCTCTGCCCTGGCACTCAGGTGGTGGAACGAACTCCCACTGGCTGTCTGAACAGTTCGCGGTCACCAAACACAGACTGAAGACATCTCTTTATGCAGTACTTAAATGAGCACTGAGTATTTATTGTAATGTACTGTACTCCAAAGATTGAAATGAAATGGGCTGTGTTTAACTTAACATGGGCTTTCGTTTCTAGCAATATCTGAGGTTTTACTATTACATTACAGCCACTTTGAATTAAACAGGACTACTATTACAGAGGGAGCTCCAGTTCAGTAATTCACAGAAGGTAATTATTACTTAGCATTTGTAAAACTACAGACTTCGTAGATTTGCAGTGGATTCAAATCATAGACCTTATAGGGCTTGAATAGGTATGTTACGTGAGTGCAAGCGTGTGTGTGGTCAAATACCTATAGCTGGGTGTTATGGAGATGTTGAATCCTCCGTAGCCGTAGAGGAAGGCAGGGTGGGAGCCGTCCAGCTGGATGCCTTTCTTATGCACGATGAACATCGGGATCTGAGTGCCATCTTTACTATGATAAAATACCTAGACAACAAAAACACAAACAGGAACACAAACAGTAAGATTTATGAAGAGGTCATAAATGTGACTGAGTTGCCAGTTTATTAGACCCACCAACCTTGTACCTTGTACGTTAAGGGTGTATTGATATACAAATTTCATTACACAAAATATATTGTCGTTTTTGCATCACGAAAATTTTTGACACAGAGTTAGAAAGGAATTGCTAACGTAAATGTGTCATTTTCATTTACATAAAACTAAAAAAACTAAATAAATACCGGCTACATCTCAGTACTAAATAAACCAAGCATTACAAGCTCACTGGCAATCTGAACTTGTGTTTCAAGCCATTCAAGGTAAGCTAATGTTTTTTTCCAGTTCTGAGAGCTGTGCAGCTGAGGTTTGTGGTTATCGTGTATATTAATATAGTGGATTCTTTTAAGATTTTGGTAAAATTTAAACAAATAGTATAACTGGTACAAGAGGAAAACAGGCTAAAATATGGTGTGCATGTGCTGCTGTGAGTTGCCCCGTAAAGCCTGAAATAATCATTTAAAAGTCAGAGGCGTCAGGTTGGGAATATTTTAGACCACGTCATACGTCTTTGTGAATTAACGTCCAAAGCACAGCATCAAAAAGAAGATCCAGCTCGATGTTTAGGTCTTAATTGCAAAATCAGCATTATACTGATGAGGATATGATGACAATAACAGATATTTCACTCACATCCTTGGAAGACACATCTTCCTTTTCACTGAGCACACTTTCCCAACCTCCTCGAAAAAAACTGATATTAACATGCGCATCACGGCGCCCCTAGTGGGCATGGACAAAAGAGGTACCTGTGTGGTCTGGTACTCTGCAGGGTTGAAGCCCTTCACTGTGACCTCCCTGAAGACGTGTGGCTGCAGAGGAGCTTTGGTCAAGTCACAATGGTAGATGATGGCTGCAGAGAAGAACATAAGCAGTCAACGTTATAGATGTACATGTAAATCAAAAAAAGATATAAAACAAAGCGCACAGCCTTCGCTGTAAGTCCACACCCACCTGGCGAGAGGAAAGAGGTGAAGTAGTAGAAAATCTCAGAGTCCTTCTTGCGGCCGGTGAAGCCCACGATGGAGCCCACCTCTAAGGGGAACGTCTTCAGCTCCTCTCCTGATGCCAGCTGATACATCTTCAACACATTCTTCACATCGTGAAGGTAACACACGAAGAGATGGGTGGAGTATGTGCAGGTGGCAAAAACTGAGAGAGAAACAGACAGATATAGATTGAGAATAACTTGTTCAAATTATTTTCAATGTTTGCAAATATTGTGTCTTGGTATTATGTCGTGTAATCTAACTAGTCCTTTTGAAGTTTTTTGATAACTGTGTTTTGTAATAGGAATGACACTAAAGGGAATTGCTGCTAGGGCAAAACATCTAATTGCAGTTTTTCTGACCAATATTGCAATTGCAGTTTTAATCTCAATTATTTTCTGTAAATTACAGTCCAGGCCATTTATTAGGCCAAGAAGAACAACCATTTTTCTGACTTGTGACTAGAACGATGAATGTAGTGTACCAGACTGCCAGTCAGTTATGGTTGTGATGTCACAGCACATGGGAGCTTGGTTGTTCCTGATTGGTTGAACTCATCTACAGGCAGTTTTACAAGCTCTTTTTTATTCGGTTAAAGTTCCCTACTACTTAAAACGTAAGACAACATTGTTGATAATGGAGACCATAATAACAATTGCAGCTTTTGCAATTTGAAAATTGCACTCTTTCAAATTGCGATTTCAATACAGACAATGGAAACATTTGTTATTTATTTATTTTATTTTTTTTAATTGTCAACATAGTTATCGATATTTGTTTTAGCTCGGATCTGTTCTAGGGCTATCTTCTATACTGTATTCTTTAACCCTTGTGTGGTGTTGATGTGTTTGTTACTCAGTGGTCTGGTGGAGTTTTTTTTTAATTAATACAGCCATAACAATTTATGTAAAAATACCAGATGTTTAAAATATCACAAGTGGCCAGCGTAGGGTTCTCCTTTAGCAGCTGTAGCCAGTCAGCAGCCTGTCCATGTTGTCCACCCTCGCGTGCACACACACACACACACACACACACACACACACCACACAAACAGCAGGACATGTAGGAGGAGAACAGAGTGAAGGACACAGCACCTCCACACTTTTACTCCCCACGGGTTCAGCCCAACACCACATGTGTAATATAAATGTGTGAGGGGTGAACAGAGTGAAGACACTGAAAATGGGTTATTTTATATGTTCTTCACAGAAAATGAGCCAAGGGCCAAGAATCTGAGGGTGAAATCATAATAAATCACATGATTTTGTCTTTTAGTAAACATTGAAAAAATGGGTCCTACAGACTTCAACACCACACAAGGGTTAAAGGAGCACCCTTTGATTCAGCTTGACACGCTCTTGGTGTTCTTTCAAGCAGCTTCATGAGAAGCCACCTGGGATGCTTTTCCAATAGGACTGAAGAAGAGATACATCTTCTCTATTTATATGTCTTAAAAACACATTTTAAGCATTTAAGTGGAAGCTTTTAGCCCAGAATGCCTTTGCAGTTATGAAAAATGCACATTCAGTCTACTGTATAACAAACTCCCAAACGTTATGTTTGTGTAATCTCACCGATGACATCTTTATCGTGCTGAGGGAGGAGCTCCTTCCACTGGCTGGGAGCCGGATCAGCAAAATCCACATTTATGAGGCGGTAGCGTGGTGCGTCCAGGTTGGTTTTGAAGGTGAACACTGTGCCCTCGTTCGTTACGTACTCATATTCTGCATCAAAGTTGTCGATCAGCTTCACCCACGGCAACAAGCCTGTCATCACAGAGGCAACAAAAAGCCATAAATAAATAAGCCATAAACTGGGGGTTTTCATTAAAGGAGTCATTCAGACAAAAAGGCTAATGTTACTAAAAGAGAAAGAAAGAGAGTAGCCATTAATTAGCATTGTGCAAAATTATCCATAATGCATAGTGCATGCCTATATTTACAGCTAGCCATGGTACCATATTTGGTCAATCTATTCCTATAAGGTTATTGATTATTGAAATATATTAAAAGTCATCTTAGTAGTCATTTACTGAATTGAGTATTTGAAGAAAGAATGTCTAGTTTGAAAGGATTTTTGAGGTCAAGATTAAATATGATTTTTGATATTGTGTGTTAACATGCCTTGACTGTTTTAGACAAGATAAAAAAAATCCAGTATCTCTCTTAATGCCTGCTGAGCCACCCTCCCCTCAAAATCGAAATACCTAGAATTATAAGTTCTTAAAAAAAAGCGCAGCATTTCGAGTATGAGCGTGTCCATGGAATTAGACCCAATCCCATTTCTTATTTTACCCCTAGTTTAGACCCTCAAATAAAAAGAGCATTACTTCATTAACAGCTACTAGCGCTGCTCTGTAGGCGACCCTGCCAGTCTGCAGTGACAGCAGAGGAGGGTAAAGTTCAGCTCCTCACTGCTGGGCTTTAGTTGCATTTAGGGCATCATATGCTTTCAAAGAGGGGGGCAATTATTTATTATCACCCACCCCTAATTCTTCAGTGATATGAAGCTGAAGTCAGATATTCACCAGCTTCTTGTTCCAATTTTCCCGTTCCACCTTAAATGGTGCAGCAGTTACGTTCTGGCGTTT